ATTGCAAATATTTTTAAAATTAAGTTAAACTTAAATTATTTTTTCCTATCCACTTCTTGACTTCAATTTGGTTCTTATAATTTAGTTCGATTGAGTTGGAAACTTAGTTTTGAAAGTTTTAGTCTCGTTTTATATGATTCAAAAAAACTTCCCAGGTTGTATCTCAACTATTTTTTACCTACTAAAAAAGATGAAATTAAAATTTTTAAAATTACAATGACCGAATTTAAAATTTTATCCAATCATGCACGGAAAAATGATATATAAATGATTAATAATTAACAATAAATTAAGTTATTGGTTATCAATCGGAGCATAGTTCAATAGTTTAAGCCACTTATGTTCAGTTAAAAAATTGTGAGTTAGGAATCTACATCTTCCAATACTGTAAAAAAAAAAAAATTTAAAAGCTATCGGTCTTGAAACATATAAAATGACAATAAATTCTATTGTCTTTTTTAATCTTATTAGTAAAATGGGTGATTCCATCGTCAAATATGAAGTTATTTTAATATAAAGTTATATTTCATATGATATAATAGATTTGAGTACTATTTTAGTCTATCATACTTTTGATTTTAATATTTTTAGTATTTTTATATTTAAGACATTTATTTTAGTTCATGTATTTTTTACTTTGTTTTAGTTTCTATGTCTGTTTTGGTCTTTTCATTTAATCTCATTTTTTTATCATTCACAATTAATATTTATGAAATATAAATTTATATTAAATAATTTTTATATTGTATATAAAATTCTACAAATAGAGTTAAAAAAGCTACTTTATAAAAATACAGAAAAACGTTTTACATTTTGAACTTACAATAACCAAATTCGAAAAAAATATGGAAACCAAAATATATTTAAACCAATATAATACAATAATTCTAGCTAAGCGACACAGCCCCTATTATGGAAAGGGAAAAGAAAAAAAAATATTTTTTTCTTTTTTTTAAAAGACAAGGTGAGGTTGGGGATAAATTCTCAAATTCCTACGTCCCATCCCTATGATAATATTCCATATACCTTATTTCTTGTTTTAGTATAATAACTTTGATAAATCCTTTTTTTATATAAATATGCAATAGCTTATAAACCCTGTATTTCTCTTAATTTCATTTTTAATTTTAGTGGTAACTGGCATATATCTCAAATCAAAAAACTTTTTTTTTGGGACAGCAAAGAGGCATAGCAGCTCAGAAAATTAAGAAATTGCTAGACGGGACATGGAGACCCCTGATATATCTGCCATCAAAAACGGATAGAGACCTATAGGGAGATTTTCACAAAAATGAACACTTAGAACCATAGCAAGCCTTATTAGAATAGAAATTGTGAGTTCGATCTCTGTTTCATTTAAAAAATATATATATCTATATAGTTTAAGAACTGAATTTTTTAACCTTTTATTTTAAATAATCGATTAGTTAGTAGTATTTTTTAAAAAATAATTGTCCTACATATATTTTAAAAGATATAATAATAAATGTTTGTTGAGGTTTTGAGCTATTGCATATTTATTTTAATTCGAAATGAATATGCACATAGATGGTGCCTCATGTTTCACTTGGTCATTTTTCTTAAAACAAATTAAAAAAAATAACTATTTCTATTTTTTTAATCTCTTTCTCTCTAAATTGACTATTAAAAACGCTAGTTGCTAGATCTTTCGACTTAAAATTAATATCAAATTGACCCATCAATTTGAAAAAAAAAATAATTTAAACTTAACTTCTTAGAAAAAATTAATTTCAAATTGAATAGCTTAGGCTAGTACAACAACTAAAATTTATGACCAAATTTATCAAAATCCACTAAATCGAACAAAATTAATCAAAAATCAAATCAATCAACTAACTTTTTTAATTTGGGTTTTATGAGACTTGACTCATTTATCAATCAATTTAGTTATTTTTTATAATTTTTATTTCATCTCAACTTTGCCCCTCTAATTGAGTGCCCTAGCCTAGGGTGTCAAATATTCATGATAGGCTTAATATAATATAAATGTGGTGTCCTAATTGACATATGTATTATACTTCAAGTAAATTGTGACAAATATATTGGTCAAATTATATTTGTCAAATTTGGTCAAAGGTAAGTCACAAATGGGTATAATAACCATCGTATGTATGTACAATTGTGATAATTTTGCATTAGATGTTTATAGGAGTTGTGTGTAGCATTTTACTTTTAGGCTAAGATATAGTGATGATGGGTCAACATCGTGGCATCCAAGAGAGGATGTGCTAGCAATCACCATCTATAAATAGACCATTAGGTCACTATCCGGTAGGATCGTATAGTTGGATTGCACCATTACATATTAGCCGTAATTTTTAGCTTCAACAATTTGATCACCACCATAAATTGTAGCTCTCATTCAACAATCTGATCAAAACAACTACATTTCGCCTACATTAAGCAAACTAGATGCATATACCTCAAATTCTATGTTTCTTTGTACTCTTCATTGTCGTTTTTGTGTATTGCTCGTATCACTCAATATCAATTATTAGATATTTTCTCCTTATACTATTATATTTATACTAAGAAAATAAAGAATGTACTAATAAATCTAAATATTCCTCTTAAAAAAAGAGATGGTGAGTTTTCATATAAGAAAAGTAAACTAGTTTCTTCCTTATATTCTTACAGCATTTTAAAAACGCAATGTTTATTTTGTTTTATTTTATTTTTTGAGTTTTTTTTTTAAGTTCATTTATAGTTAATAAATGGTTAATATATAGATATAAATATTGCAAAGGGGAAACATCACGACGGTAAAATTAAATAGGAACTTGGAAGTTTACGTGGGGATGTAAATAAATGAGGTATAAATTAATAATAATATTTAATAATATAAATAAATAAAACTTTTCGAAAGAGAGAGAGAGAGAAAAAAAAAAGAAGGCAAAGGCAATTTACGTGATGGTACAGAAAAACATGGTGTTTCTCCGTGTCGGAAAGTGGCATTATTTAATTTTTTTATTCCAAAATGTTTTTGAAAGGTAAAATAAATAAAAAAGACTGAGTTTTTTTTTTTCCTTTTTGACTTATTACTTAGTAGAGGTGAAGTATACTTAGGTTAGCATTTAATTTTAAAATATTATAATAAATTTTTAAATTTAAATATCATATCTATTTAATTTATATAGTTTTAAAAATTTGATAAGTTTCTAAATATCAACAAAGTTGCTCAAAATCTAATCCTTAAATAATATTATCAATGTCCTTAGTAAATATTAAAAATACACCGAGCTATACAAAAATCTATTAAATACAATGATAAGTTTAAAAATGATTCTTAATTTTTATTTGTAAATTTTAACAGAATTTTATAATCAACAAAATCTTCTTAGGTGTGAAACTAAGAATTTGTATAAAAATAAAGAGTCAAATAAACTAAATAAATATTTTAAAAGTATAAAAATTAAATTGAATAAAAATGAGAAGTACACCGAATAAATATTTTTAACTCATCATTATTATTATTATTATTAGAATTTGCGTTGATGCGCGTGGGTCCCACTGGAAGGGCCTCTCGCGGTTCCCAAGCTTAAATATCAGCCTCCCGTACGAGTTGAGAAGTTGACGCCC